CATCGCTGCCTGTTTAGCCCCGCCCACCGATTCTACAGCGCTGCCTGTTTAGCCCCGCCCACCGATTTTACAGCGCTGCCTGTTTAGCCCCGCCCACTGATTCTACATCACTGTACGTTTAGCCCTGCATCGCCTTCCTTCTGATCCCAACAATAGGAAAGAGAGGATAAACTTTATTTTTAATGAAGATCCAGACCGTGTCAGTAAGAACTCGGTCCTTTGTTCACTTCATTTTACCGTAGATTCATTTACAAACAAGGCATTTTCGTTTACAAGACAAATTCGTTTTCAATCTTTCTGAAACTAAAAGACGATGCTGTGTGGCTATATTGAAAAACGCGTTCTGTGTGAACAGCCCCTTATAGAGCAGCAGTTCAGTAAGAACACGTGCGTTTGCTGCAGTGTAAATTAATATTACTAAGTTTAATAGTTGTGTCAAGGGACACATTAAGTGAGTTTATGCTTAAAACTAGGGCTGCACAATTTTGGTTAAAAATCTAATTGCGTTTGTTCTTTGATAAAAAATTGTGATTGCGATAAATAAAGAAAGGGTTTGTTGTGCTTGTTTGTTGGGCTGCACAATCTGTGATTATATACCAATATGTCTAAAAAAATAATCAAAGTTGTTATTATTATTACTAAATACATATTTTTTTACTAAACTTTTATAATACTACTATAGTAATATTTCACTTTAAAGTAAAAAATGTGTATTTATGAAAAATAATATACTAAATATATTATGTGTTACAACTGTAAAATGCAATACAATACTAATATTTATGGCTGCCCTAATTTCTTCATTTTAAACTGTCGAACATTTTTATTTTTTGGGAAAACGCTTCGCTTCTCTCTTGCTTGTCTTTGCACGTTTGTATTAAAACATTCACATTGAAACGACAATAATTGCACTTAACTATATCCCGTTTGATTGTTCTTGTTTTAGGTGTAAACCCGCTTAATTTTGCTCTATTTTTCATAATATCTTCAGTCATTTTCTATCTCCAGATTTAAGAATGTTTAGATGACTCTGATGGTATTTTCAAATATCGTCTGAAAGTGATTTTCTGTGTGTTTTCCCTGTTGGCTTGTGAATGAATGTGTGTCTGGCCTCATTGACGCTCTTTGTCATCATTCATTGACGCTCGTCTCGTCTCGTCTCCATCCGGCTCATTCACTGCCACTCAATGGAGCAAAATCTCAGATTATCACACTGATATTTCTGTGATTTATTGCAAAAGATTCGTTCAATCTCCAGTTGGTTTCATGCTTTGGTAGAGTCAGATATATGCGATGATGTAGCGATGTGTGTGATGTGTGGCGTCTGCAGTGTCGGTCACATGACCCTGAGCCGCTCGCTCGCTCGCCCGCTCACTCTGTCTCTCTCTCATCACAAAGACTCCTGTATCTCCTCCGGAGACGCTTGAAATCCATTCCCCGGAGCTCATGCTCGGCGTCTTATAGATGCACTGTTTTTATCATTTCCCATGAGGCTTGGCGCTCGTGTGTGACACAGTTTCTCACCGACACACATCTGATGCTCATAGAAAGCACTCGTAATCAAAAGAAAGTAGGAAGAAATTATACTTGGCCTTTTGCTATGTCTGTGTTTACATACTTATCAAAACCAAAGCATTCATTCGTATTTTAAAAACAAAAGAAGTTTAGATGAAAAGTAATGCTTTTATTCATCAAGGATGCATTAAATTGATCCAAAAGGAACAGTAAAGACATTTATAACGTTAGAAAAGATTTATATTTCAAATAAATACTGTTCTATTGCTTTTTCTATTCATCTGTGAATCCTGAAAAATAAAATGTATCACGGTTTCCACAAAAATATTGGTGGCTTGTTAAAGCCAATAAATTCT